AAAAAACGCAGAAGCAGCTGAAGTTTTCCTTAGAAAAATCTTACTGTTTCCTAACTTCAGGACTGACGAGACATTACTTGGGCAATCCAAAACATCCTTTAGACCAATTGAGCTCTGTTACGAAGTAACTAAAAATATTTAGGCTTAATAATCTTATTTTGTCCCAAATATTATTCGAAACTAAGATGAGTATTCTACAAAAGAATCCTTTTATATTTTAAACTCATTATATCTTTCTGATATCATTGGAATAATTTCAAGAGCAAATCGAGGGATTGCATTTTAGAAGGAACAAATAGATCAGTTCTAAATATGACATACATAAATTAGGTCCATTACAAAGCTTGTATTAACCTATTCATCACTTGGAATCTGAAAAGTGAGTTTGGAATACACTAATATACGTTAATAACTAAGGTATAAGACAAGTGAGCAGAATATCACATTCCTTATGTAGTAGATTATTTAAATTCTCAACAGGGTCTTTACAAAAATATAACACGATTTATGACTTGCATTATAAATCATAAACTAGACTTAACTCACATCAAGTTTCTTTGTTCTCACTAATGTAGAGTTACGTTTCAAAGACTTCTATATATATGCTAGATATTTGCACTTAATGCTCAATTAATAAAGCTCTTACAAATCATTGTTTAGATGCCAAAGTGTGGTGTCGTCAGATATCCAAGGATTTGACGGCTGAGCACCTGATATAAATGGATCGAAATCAGCATATTCCTTGCAGCGAAGAATTAAACTATGAAGAAAATATAATAAAATCCCTTAAAAAACATATTCATGAAAACATTCTTGTGACTCATTAAAGTGAAATATCGCAAATATACACGGAAATATATTTTCTGTCACTTCTTCCCGTAAAATATGATACAAAGTTTGAAGGTGTTATTGATAAAAAATAAAAAGCATTTTGTCTTTGATTTTACTAATTTTAAATATCACATATCTATTTCTTAATGAAAAAAAACAAAAAACAACAACATAGTGGGTGAAGATGCGAAAATATCAAATATGTATAGAAAATACCAAATAAAAATATTCAAGGTTTACTATGGACATATTTTATGCTGAAGTAACAACCACATACTAAGTCCATCAAATAACCCTGCAGAAATTGTCTACTAATCTTTTAACACGCATTTAATGAAACCAAAAATGTTATATTCAAGTAAAACTAATCTATACAGTATATCATACAAATCAGTTATTATTTTGAAACATTTCAGTACTTCAAACACCGCAACTTACTTGATAATTCTTACTATTTAACTCGACTTGAGTAATATTACACTCTTGAGACATAGCAGTAAGTGGTACTTAACCCTTCAAGTGCCATCTGAAACATCTCAAACAAATACTTAACTTTACGACCACTATATGTCACATAGTACACAAATAATTACCTAATTTCCAAAAGTCACACGATGCGTCTCAAAGAAATATTTCATAATCATAACTTCATACTAACAAGTCGTTTTTCGCACCTCAGCTGAACAGTTAAGAGATGATAACCCCCTCCCCCATGAAGCACAAGTTCTATCTTTACTTAGCTCCACACGTTTCGTATACCACATGTTAAACAACTAATTATTTAGTAGGACAGTACTAGGTTATTATTACCTCCCCAAACGTCATATATGATACCAGGGATAGAAAAACGTTGCGCATACTTAGAGTGCATTGCAAAAATTTGGTCGATAGATCAATATTTTCTCTAAGTGAAATACTATTTTTTTACCAAAAAATATGAATCAGAAAAACGACAGGCCCTGCCAAATAGTTGTTGCGACTTCGAATCTTGGGCTTTCCGATACACAGACCGGCACGTTAACCATTAGGCCCGTCCGACATGTTAATTAGTGAAGCAACACTTTGATAAGGTGATCATCTCAATGTTTATTCAAAACGTTACTATTTTCAATAGAATATTACTCCTCGAAAGAAAATAATTCTTTCTAACTGTCATCTATTTCTCAGTTTGTCTAGAGACAAGACGAAAGGCTGGGTGCACATTTATTTTATACTAATTTAGTAGGTTTAATAACAAACGAATAAAATAATTACAGTAACTTCATCACATTCTCTTTATTATCACTGATCTCCAGCACAGACGTTACACGAATACTTTAATCACTTGCAGAGAATGAGAACCACATAAGATAAACAATTCCGGTATAATGGAAGATTAGGTTTATCCATGGCCAGTGGCGCTGTTAGTACATCTCGACGCGAGTCATCATTCGTGTTTCAAAGATTGTCCACACGATAATCGATCTCCTCCAACGTACGTGCACTCATCTTCGGAGTAATCGTCTCATTTGCGCTGGTTATTCGGGCAAGTAACCGTATCTTCGTCTTGCAGACAATGTCCTTCACATATTCCCTTTTAAACTAGTTGAAAAAACTTCAGACGTCAACTTCTCACATACTGCAAACTGGAACAGTGTATTTGGCGTGTTTCATATTCTATTCAATGAAGAAAGTGGTTGAATACTAAATGGATACGCTAGGGACCCGATTTACAATGCTACAGCACCTGCACCGATGTATAGAAAACCAACGATATCCATTAAAAACTGTTTTATTTATTAACGAGTGTCTAGATTGCATATTAAGTTAAAACAAAGCTTGTTCTATTTAATCCGAAGTAAGGTGAGTGTTTCACACCCTTGGTAATTAGCAGCGAGTAAAGATCAGGAAAGTTAGAGCCCCTGTGTCACGAAGATCTGGATGATTTTTCAAAACCTCACCCTTATGGCGCAGCGTAAAGCTGGAGAGCTTATAACACTAAAACTTGGGTTATGTTCCTGTTGTGGGCTCAGCAAATATAGACCATTGCACTTGACAACAAACAAACAAACATTTGTTAACAGTGATTCAGCGGCAAGTCTGATGGCTTATCACGCTAAAAATCGGATTTCGATACCCATGGTGGGCAGAACACAGATAGCACATTGTGTAGCTTTGTGCTTATTATCAAACAAATAGATAAACAATTATTTGGGGGATACTTAATTCACCAGGAGTAATATGTTAACATCTCACAGAAACAATTACATTAGATTACATTAGCAGACTTTATTAATACCACACACGACACAGTACTTGGATCTCCAGCAATAGTACACCATCGATGATATGCAGAAACTGAAAACTATAAACTAAATGTACTTCTACAGGATCTCCGAAAGTGTTCTGTTTCAAGAGTAAATAAAACCAAAATTAAACGTAACAAATATTTTTATTTCTTGCTTTGAAGTTCATATGTCGTGCTGTGTTGTAGAATACAGAGTGAATACTTCTTAGTGTCTACAGAAAACATTTTCTTGAAGATAACAACAGTGTATTTGAATAATAATTACGTGTGCAAATAATAAAAATTGAATATTAAAAAGAAACAAGAGCCGTGGACATGTTTGGCACATTGTTGATTCGTTAGAAATATTAATTAATAGATTATTGATAGAATTTTTCAAACATTTCAAAAATAAGATTTACAATGAAAAAGAAAATCCATAACCTCTCAAGCACTTGACGAAGTCTTGTTCTAGGTTTACAGATATACTGCTTGAAGAATTCGACCTAAAAAAAGAAAATTCAGGTTATGAATAGTGCAAAAAGAATAGGAGTCATGGCGTGATGTTATAATAATGAACACAATCCATTGGGAAACAAGTCGTAATTAACACGTAACAAATAAGTTAAGAAGTGTATTAGTAACAATTATACTCCATGTAATAACTGGCTAGTATGATATACAAAGGAATAGATAATAAAATCATAAAAAGTTGTCATAAAAAGCTACTTATTAAGACGAAAATTACAGATAATTCACTAGAACATATGATATTTAATTCCATGTAAGTTACATGTACTATTTTAGAACATTTTATTAATTCAGATGGCATAGTATTACCCGTTTCTTTAATTCTTCCTTCGTCTTGGCTTTTTTAGTTGTTTGTTTATTAGCTATTGGGCTTCTTTCCAAACAGCTGAATATTCCTGGCTGTAAATAAACAGTTGAAATTTTGATCATTGCAAGCCGTTTATTTCACACGTTTTTATTTCGACATTTTTCAACCAGTGTACAGTTATCGATCAAAGGGCTACTTGTAGTTGAAACATATCTGTTACTAGTATTTGGTACTTTCAACCTGAACGCATTTTACGTAACACGTGACTAAGTCTGTTAACTGACAATTGCTGACCAGACGAAGGGCGATCAGTCAGTAACATCGCAGTTTATACGTCTGTTCTTAACCAATGAGTAGGATTGACTATCACGGATATTACACAGCTGAAAGTGCGGAGTGTGTTAAGTAGCATATCGAGAACTCAAATCTTGGACCTTACGGTCCGAAGACCGGCACTCTAACCATTAGGCCCGCCAAGCCTATCTGTTACTGAAGTAATGCTTTTAAACTTTAGGCATTACTTAAAATGTGTATTACAACGTTAAAAATCAGATTTCGAAACCAGCGGTGGGTAGAGCACAGATAGCCCATTATGTAGCTTTATACTTAATAACAAACAAACGCGAACACTTAAAGAAACTTTTTAAAAACACCTTTTTTTAGTTCAAACTTGGACACTTTCAACCTTTACAGTTACTGTACAGTTGCCTGAATATAATGCGAACTATTTTTTAGAGCGCTTGACTCGCAATCTGAGGGTCACGAGTTCGTTTGTTTGTTTGTAATTAAGCACAAAGATACACAATGGGATATCTGTGCTCCGCCCACCACGGGTATCGAAACCCGAATTCTAGCGTTGTAAGTCCGCAGACATACCGCTGTGCCACTGGGGGGCAATACATTTTGTACAACTGATATGTGAAAAACAAATGTTCTTCAATTTAACCTTTCAAAATTGGGTGTGTATTATATTCGAGCAGATACGGAAACTACTTTGTAGAACCATTCCATTTTAAACGAGGACAAAGTCAGATATACTCTTGGTGGTCAATACTTTTATTCGCATTTCGCAAGTCTTCAAAAGAGTTTATACATCTAAATGTTAAAGCAAACTAAGTTAAATTCAATCTCTTACAAGCAGCTGTGTTTTAAATTTTAATTGATAATTGTTGGACGATGTTATTTGCCCTAATAAACGTTATTAACCGAGAAAATATTAACCTTGAAGTGTGAGAACGAGAGTAAGGCATTTCCTACTTCACCCAGGACTTAGAACGCTAAAATCGGGGGTTAGATCTCTGGTTGGATAAAGCATAGATAGCTCATTGAACTTGATAATAAAAAAAAATATTTATAAAAGGTTTGTTTGTTGGTTTCGGATACTTGCACAAAGTTACGCAAGGCCTACTTACACTAGTCGTCCCTAATTTTGAACCGATAGGCTAGAGTGAATGCAGCTAGTCAGCAGCACTTATCGTAAAATTTTGGGGTACTAATCAAATAGTTGTATATAACCATTAACTTTATAATGCACACACGGTCCCAAATTGGTGAGCGTGATTTTACGGCAATATGACGCAATTCGTAGATCTCCGGCTTCAGAGTCTGGCGTACATATAAAAGGAACTTTGATAGTGAGTTTAAAATTACGCGTTTTTTTTTTCTTTCAGTTTTAGTGATTATTCTATTCGATGCTGTTCACATCATCTTTATTTTGATTCCATTTAACCTTTTGACTTTCATGGAATTTATATACAGACACAGTTGTCAATCTGGCATACCGAGGCATCTACTTAGGAGCTGTTAAATTTTTGTAAGTCTTAACCGGTGTTACTCTTTAGCTATAATCTGGATTAATAATTTTTGGAGTAGTAATTAGTGGGTTACTAATAAGTTTATAAGGCATGCAGAAAAGAATTTTGGATATATCTATTACATCTACAAAACAAAAACAAAAAATCGAACTTTATGACGCCTACTTAACCACAAAGTTTTGAAGTGATATTTCTGACTTGTATTTACTTGGTAGTATATTGACTGCTTCTCCAAGTTTTGCTTGTTACATAATAGGAAATTAGTACTTTGTGATAAATAAAATTTGACAACAAGCGCTTGGTAACACACGAAACTTTACTAGATTTGCGTAGAATGAAATTCTTCTACCCCAAAATATAAACAATTAAATTTCACGTTTTATGTTTAACTTAAAAACACAAACACAAGTCACCGACAAATCCTTACCGGTGGTCTTTGAACTAGCCAGTAGGCTTTTTCTTGGCTGTCTAACACAATTTTGTCAGTTTTTTTCCTTTCCTTGGCGAGACTGAAATAAACAATAAATCAGAACTGGTTGATGAGTTCTGGAAACATGTTTAATATATTAGTATTAAGATGTAACTTACTTACTTCTTTATTCTTTTCGGGTCTTGTGAAGTATTAGTAATTATAAGGACACACTGACTGTACAAATAACCACCTGATACGTCAAGATTTTAGGAAGCACACACCGAGGAACTCTGCTTTTGGTATGTCATCACTCTAGGAAGTATCCACTGAGGAGCTCTGCTTCTGATATGCCAAGACTTTAAGAAGCTTATTCTGAGGAGCTCTGCCTCTGATATGTCAAGACTCCAGGAAGCATATATTGAGGAGCTCTGCTTCTGATATGTCAAATCTCCAGGAAATATCCATTGAGCAGCTCTGCTTCTGATATGTCAAACTCTAGGAAGCGTATATTGAGGAGCTCTGCTTCTGATATGTCAAACTGCAGGAAGCGTATAATGAGGAGCTCTGTTTCTGATATGTCAAATTCTAGGAAGCGTATATTGAGGAGTTCTGCTTCTGAGATGTAAAGACTTCTGGAAGTATCCACTGAGGAGCTCTGCTTCTGATACGTCAAGACTCTAGGAAGCATTCATCGAGGAGCTTTGGCATCATTAATGGGAGTATAACAAAAAGTAAGCCATAGTGACCATGTTATAACAACGGCTTAGCTCATTGGAATACCATAGTCATAAAGGCTTAGCTCACGATGCTATGGTATTCCAATAAGCTAAGCCACGATGCTATGGTATACCAATAAGCTAAGCCAAGGATGCTATGGTATACCAATAAGCTAAGTCATGCCTGTGCTATTCCAACGAGCTAAGCTATAATGGCTATGGTGTACTAACAAGCCCCTTAGTATAACTTAGTAGAATTTCCCTAAATCGATAAGTTTCACCCCAGTGATAGCTTTAAAACACTGATGATATAAGGTCATCAAACTTGCACTAGCTGTGCTTGACATTAAGATGATGGCACGCTAAACATCTGTTAGCAGTCAGGACAATCATCAGTAGAAATATGACGAAAAGATGTTTACTGCGTGATTTTATTCATTTTAAGGAGTACTTCTCAATCAATGTCTTAAAATCATCATCCCAGTTTGAACCACTTTGATAGAGAAAACAAAAACAAGACTGGACTGGACGTTAACACATGTACTACAAACACATTAAATACCTATGACTGATTAGGGTATGATTTGTACAAGCTATCTATAATTTTGTACATGGCAATGAGGTTGCCTGAGGTGGAAAAACCTAGATAAAACTATTAATGACTTCAATATTGGAAAGAACTATGTATTTTAAAATTCAATTTTCTTTTTATCGGTTGTACATAGTAAAACTTTTATATATTTTGTGAATAGAATAAACAAAAGCTTTACTATGTATAACCAACAAAAAACTTGTGTAAATATTAATAACTTAATATTTGGAATCCCGAAAATCAAGTAATGATCTTATGTTGATTGTCTTAGACTTGTTATTTAATATAATATCTTTAAAATTAGAAGAAAAAAATTAAATACTGACTATAACTAATATCACTATAGGGTGTAACATTGATGGTGTCTTTATTATCACTCGAAACAAAAAAGCTTCATCACTTTAATACCCTTTTAATCTTTTTCTATTTGTAACTCATACTGGAAGTTAATTATCTTACTTGACTTGTTCTTCGGCTTGCATACACACAAATTCCCACTTATGACAAAGAAGTTTCTTCAAACGTGCCAGCGCCTCCTAGTGAAAAACAAGAAAATTATATTTACTTTGGGTATTTGAGACAAGTAATGTCAAATCATTATTTTGATAGCATTCTTCATAACAATCAATGCATACACTTGTATTTTTTGAATATATATATATATATATATATATACATATATATATGCACCAGTGGCACAGCGGTATAGTCTGCGGACGTTACAACGCTAGAATCCGGGTTCACTACCCGTCGGTGGCGAGAGCAGTAGATACGCCTAT